AAATTCAGGCCTTATAAGGGCAGTGAGTTGTCTTAAACCCCAGTGCATGGGGTTTTAAAGAGGCTGCAATTGTGTGCATTGCACTGTGAAATATTCCAGCACATCCCTTGAGTGCCAGGGGTTTCAGCAAGGCTTTAAATATCTTGAAGGGAATTTTTTGGAGTATGGTTGTTCTTTATTGAGGAAACACCTGTTATCCACATTTTATGGGTAGGGTGGTGAGCTCAGGAATGGTGCAGAGAGTTGAGGGAATAAAGGGTCTGACTTGATTCCTGCAAGCCTTAATTGTGTGCCATAACTCCTGTTCAGCCTCCCTTGGGGTGGAAGGACACAGGTGATCCTTAAGGACAGGTTGCAGAGTGGTGAATAACTGTATCAAAACAGAAAGGTACCCAGAGGAAGAATGTGACCATTTCTTTGTAGTGTTGTTGAGTGTTGATGCTTTTAATGTTTTCCATAGATCTTTTCTGTGGAGCTCTGACTTTGGTGCAGTGGGTCAGACCCGTGGCTCTGTCCCTCCCTGAGGGAAGCTTGGGAATGTCAGACATGGGATAAATCACAGGAGAGCTCCAGGAGCCTGTGCTCTGAGCTGCTCCTCAGGGCTGGAGAAAACTTTCAAGTTAATTCCCTGATGCTAAACCTGGGCTGTATGCTGGAGAAATCCAAATTTGGTGGCAATCTGCTTTTGCTTGGATAGATGCTGAGGCTGAAAGGTGTATCCAGGGTGGGCTGCACTGCCAGGGGCACTCATCTGGAGCAGTGGATGTAGGTGAGATGTCCTTGCATCTGGCACACAGCAGAGCTCTCGTGTGCTCTGGAAGGTGTCAGCAGTCACATCCCTGTCTGTCTTGCTGGTTTCTGGAGACTTGTCTCCCACCCAATAATTTTTTCAAGTAGAATCAGTAAAATGGTTGATTCTCAGCCCTGAGCTTTTCTGCACTCAGTGATTATTTGCTGGTTGTGACAGCTCTGTAGAGTTTTGTCTTGGCCAGTAGTCTCAGCAGATGCATTGTGTTGACTTCCTGAATCCAATTTGTAACAATAATGTTTTTTTCATACTGTGTTTCTGGAACCAATTTGCCTGCTTTCCCTTCCCCATCTCCTTCTCCCGGGACACCCCAGCGAGAGCTCTGCCCTGCACACTCCAGTCACCTTCTGTTTGCCTCCTTCCACTGCCTGAATTCCCAAGTTTTGGGAGTAGATTTATGGGACATGACTGTAGACACGCTAAAAGTCATTTATGAGATAGACCAGTGAGAATCTTGGGCAGCTTTTCTACATGAGACTCTCCTGCTAAAAAACAAAAGCCCAAATGTAAAATTTCCTAAGCTGCTTGATTTATTTGATTCATTTCCTCTGTCTATTCAATTTCAAAGCCATTTAGGAAGATCATTCACACAAACATTTAAGTTCTCTTTAACTAAAGTCAACCAATGTGCTTTTTCAATGAGCTGGAGCTCATGAGAAAGATTCAAACATTAGCAGTGTAAAGAAGGCAATTAGTCTTTGTACAATATATTGAAAATTAGCCCAAGGCACACTGGAATAATACATGTTTTACAAATGTATATTTTTCAACCAACTCCGTAGTTTTTACTAGATCCTGACACAGATCATTCCAGAAGCTACCAAATGAATTCAAACTGTGAAAGAGGTTGCAGTTGTCTATAAAAAAAAGGGGTTTAACTGTAATGTGGTTGGTTTTGCTCTGTATATTTGATCACTCAAAGGAAAGCCTTTTTTCCTGCTGTAGTATGTCAAGGAAGCTTATCTGCATGTAAACAGCAAAATGAAATCTCTCTTGTGTTGTAAGGGTTGAAGTTTTCTAGTTTAGAAGTTGAGCATTTCTAAAAATGTACTCATGATGTCATCCTGATAACAGGAGGAACTCCTCTCACTTCGTCATGGAGTGATTCTTTTCCATAGATTTTAAAGCTGTCACAGGAGTAGGAAAAAGCTGCCATAATCATAGCAATCAGTGGAAAAGTTTTATTTTAATAACTGTTGGGGGAGCAGCTGTCATGTTATCTGCCCTAAAGATTGTGCACCCATTATCAGGAGTGTTTTGCCCACAGTTTGATAGGAATTTGGGTCAAGAGAAGACCATTTTCCTGAAAGGGAAGAAACAAGCATTGTTGATTCAACCATGGAGGGAGTACCAGTTAAAAACTTCAGAGTATTTTCTGAAAATAGGAATACACCTATAGCTATTAAGGAAAATACTGTTTTTTCTTGTTTTAATAATGTAGTGTTTAATTCTAATAGGACAGATCACAAAACAAAAGAAATGCCTTGTGAGGTGCTATAATGGACACAAATGTACTTTCTACAGTTGATTAAGTTAAAGTATTTGTTGTTTATATGAATTATTGTGGTTTATATAGAGCAGAAACTTTCAGGAAGACAAGCTAAAACTTTTGTTTGTTTCTGCAAGAGAATTCACAGGAGTTAAAGTCCATATGGCGTCTTGGATGCAGGAGTACAACAACTCTCCTTAACTTGTAGAAGAGAGCATATGGTTTTGGTAATAGGTTAATAAGAGCAATTAACCTTATAGTGCACTCATTTGTTGGTCTCAGTTGTTTATAAACTAGGTAATAAAGATATTTTAACATCCTATAGTTTTATAGGAGATTAAGTGAAATCAGGCTGTATTTTTTAAGCTTCAGTGCCAACAGTACTCAGGTGATACTGTGATAGAAACATAAAATTAGCAGAGTAGAAGATTCAGAGTACTCTGTGGTGTGTCCAACCAATGGGTATCATCACAAATGTTGAAATACTAGAATAGTTTAGAGAAATACGAACATATGTTAAAGGTTTTCATTAGCAGAGGAACTGTTTTCCTGGGATGCACAGATCTGTCACTCAGCTTGTTCTTGTCACTTTGCAAAGACTGTAATGTGGACTGTTTCCAGGCTTTATTTACATAGAAAAGAATGCTAAGCTTACCTTCTTCTTCTTGAGGATGAGCCTCATAAAAGAGCAGGCTAAAAAAGCACCATCATTGCTTTATTTTGTTTGTTTTGAAGGACTTCCTGCAGAAGTCCCAGTTTCTCTGTTAGGAGCTGCTGTGTTTGCCTGGCAAACAGAATCAGTGGGCACAGGGTACAAATGAGCAGGTTGCATTTGGCCCCACAAACTGCACCCACAAGAAAAGCCATTTTACTTCATTCTCTGCTGGCTCTTCACACTTCAGGTGGTGTCATTTGTTGTCCAGCTGGGCACCTTGCTGCAAAGACACCAAGGGTTCTGTGATTTTGTTTTAAGAGTACTTTGGGTTCTGAGCTGTGGGTGATGGGAGAAGGGATGGTTTCACCATAATAATGGTTTTTCATTTAATTCTATAACTTGTCAGCTTTTTGGCCTCCTGCTTTTGTGCAATATATGTTTTGAAAGCTTCTGCCTACTTATTTGGTTACTATATTATTATTCCAAAAGAAGCCTCTAAACCAGCTCATCTGTAGAATTTAGCTCAAGCACATAAAGGATGATATATTGTGGTTATTTGTTTTGTCTGTCCTTCCTGATTTACTGTTAATTGTCTGATGTTTACCTTATATTTTGGTTATAAGGTATTTTAATATTTTTACCTGATGATAACCCTAATGAGCTGTGATTCTTTTTCTTTATTCTGAATTTGAACATCAAGACAATAATTTCTTTCTTCAGGTTTTCTTCAGAGGCTTCCATGAAACCTTTCTATACAAATTTGTGGTCTCATTTTTTTTCTCTTTCATTGAATTGACTGAACAATGTATTTGCTGGTGCAGCATTCACCAAAGATGAGGACTCTTTTGCTTTATTAGACTTGACAGTGTTTAAACAATACTAATTCTCATACCCAGCTGGCTTTTCAACTGATTTCTGTGCTCTCTATTGCTGTGTAAAACAAGCTGGAACATTAATGGCATCTTGCATGCTACCCTCTGGAGACCTACTTTTCTTTAGAGAAAAATCTAATAAATGTGAAAGTTTCTCTCGGTTTTCTCCTTATATTTTTTTTCTTTCTTTTCAAATGATATTTTAATTTACTGTCAGATTTTGTACATGTCACAATATTAATTTTCAGGCACATTATTTTAAAAAGTAGTCTTCATTTTATAGATAGATTTACTGGTTTGCTCATTTTTTAATATAAATAAATGCCTTTATCTAAACCAAAATATACCAGCTTTAAAAACATGTTCAAGATGCACATGAATGTGCTATTTTAACCCAGCTAAAATTTTGTATATTGAAAATGTGTTTGCCAAACAGCCAACAAACATTTGCAGATGTTAATCATTTGTTCAGCCTCTCAGTTTTAACAGGATTGAGTATTCTTCATGAGAGAGAGAGAGAGAGAGATAAAACCCCATTTTTCTAGCCTATAAATATAAATATTTAAGTCATGAATTTAGACAAGCCCAAACCTTAAAACATTTTCTGCTGAAGGATGAATTTTGTCTGTTTAGAGCAGCCATCTGTGATGGGCTGCAGCCATTGCTGAGGTGACCATTGTAGCACAAGTCCCTCCTTCCAGTCCTTCAGAGGCTGCTTAATTTCATATAAATTTCAGTTAATTGTGAAACAGCAACTTTCTGAAACCCAAGCTTGATTCTTGCCCCCTGCACCTCCCCAAATTCTCAGTTTGCCCTGCAGCAGGGGTAAGGATTTGGGGTGCTCCATTGTCCTGGTCAAATGAGGGCAATGACCTGTCATAAAGGACTGGCCAAAGCTGGGGGGTGAGATTTGATATTTAACTTCAAGGAATCAGTCCTTTCTGAAGAAAATTTCTAACCTTCTTGGCTATAATATCTCCTATAATTTTTTGCAGAGAGGCCAGGTGGCCCTGTGCAAAATGTGTGCCAGTGTCTGTGTCCCACAGTGCCACAACACTCCATGTCATGCATACAAAGTCACTTGGAAGCCTTGTAGGGAATATTTTCTAAATACAGAATGTTTTGATATCACAGTATTCCATTTAAGTAATTTTTTTTCCCCCTAATTTTCTACAGCTGGTCTAAAAACCCAGAAAAATGGAAGTTTCAGAAGACAAGACAGACGTGGCTTCTCCTGCATATGTATGATAAAGAGAAGGTTTGTATTGATTCTGCTTTTTCTCAGAAAAAATATGATACAGTCTTTTACATTAGTTATAGCTATTGTTTTTTAACCAAACTTCCTAGTACTAGCCATGCACTTGTCCCATAATTTTTTAGTAACTTACAAATTACTTTGTTTTTAACCAAGATGCTGAAGCATTTTAATTGCTTGTCGTTGATCTTTTTATTTTGTTGGTGATCATTGCCCTGTGCATGCTACATTTTTATACTTGATATATAGCAAGCATAAAGAGAGCAGATTTGTGATTTATTCAAATCAGGGGTTTGCTGAGAATTTGAGTCATATCCTTAGTTTGAATTTCCTAATGTGGAACCCAATACTGCAAACCACAGCTCTCATATTGTTTCAGATATCTCTGGGCTCCATGGAAGATGTACAACCATATTGCCAAGATGTTAAAATAGCTCTCTCATTTAAATATAAGTGAAACCTGATGTTTATTGTGAAAAGCATAAAGTATAACCAGAAGCCAGGCTTGAATCCATACTGAAATCCGTTCATTTCATAACTTAAAACACAACATAAATTGAATTTCCAATAAGTATCTGACCATTGTGGTATCAAATGAGGGTGTCAGGTCATTCCTTTTGTTGTGCAATAGAACAAACCTCTGCCCATTTGCACAGTGCCTCACTTATTGGTTCATTTTGTTGACATTCAGTTAAGTTTTGCTGATTTTTTTGTGTGCACTTGAACATTTACTCATACCAATCATCCTGACCCAAATTAGTCAGCAGCTCTAAAGCCAATCACCTGACTTTGGGTGTTACCTTTTTAGACCGCCAGATAATTAACAACAGAGTTTCATGAAGGCAAAAATGTTCACATGGTGTAAATACTTTAAAAAAGATGGGTTGCAGAATACAAATTTGATTTTTGGTTCTGGGTTGTTTGCTCTATCTTCTGTTTTTTAAGTTTCTCTCTTTAAAGTCTTTATCAACCTTTCAAAATCAGTGTATGCTCTTCAAAGCTACCTAGAAATTGTTTGGCAGGCAGAAGGATGTTTTTACTTTTTTTACCTGTTTACTTTGGTTTTGTATTGAAATATGCTGGGACACAATGAACTGTAAGTACCATTTGTTTTATGTATCAAAATACAGTTTAACTCCTTATTTCTCAACACTGAAATGAAACTTCCTTTTTCTTAGAATTCTGCTGGAAGTGCTCTGATTTATTTAAATTCACATATTTTGTATTTTAATAATCAGAGGAGCATTGAATATGAGCTTCAGAGAATGATTAACATCTGCATCCAGATTTAGTGAAGTTAGTAGAACTGCTCAAGTGCTTATAATTAAGCATATGATGAAGTCTCTTTCTTCATCAGGACCATAGGGAGGGCACACCCAGCTTCTTTTGAATATTTTTTTATACCCAAATTCAACTTCCTGTCCATAACAGAATGAAATCTGTTGGTAATCCAAGCATGACTAAAGTACAAAAGGAGACAGAAGTTTCTTTCCTTCCTAAGCCACATCTTTGATCTCATGGTGTCACTTGGATGCCTACTGAAGAGCCATACGAAGGCCTGAATTGAGTTTCCTGTACTGATAGGCCTCTTTCTGTAAGAAATAAGTTGAGGTTTTAAAATTTGCTAGATAAATGGTGTTTTAAGCTCCTTTAAAATCCATCTGGTGGCTGGCTGACAGCTCCCAAGCCAGGCCTGTGTACCTATGGTGTGTATACTTCTCCAGCACCCAGGATTAAATAAACACTAGGTTATGTGTTGGTCTTTATCATCTGGCACAGCATTTTTAGGAAGTTACTAGATCAGTCTTCAGCCTCTAGACTTCAGGGTGTGGTGGGGTGGCTGAGGTTTCCTTGGGAGGTGACCCAAAATGCAGCCTGGCAGCAATGAGCTGAGCTTCTCTCTGCTGGTGTCTGTGTTTGCTTTGCTAAATATGTGGGTGTCTGCAGGTCTCCAGGTCTGAAAATACAGAGTTGCAGAGGGTAATTTAAAAGTGATAACTGTTCTTTTCCTGGTACTCTTTCCTAGTGTTTCCCTGCTTTTCCCAAAGACAAGAATTATTTCACTTGGGATTATTTCCATATTAATCAGCTCCAGTGTATATTAGGAAGTTAAGACAGAGGAAAGATTGGTGTGTGAGAGAGAAAAAGAAACAAGAAAAAGGTCAAAACAGTTTAACAAAAGAATAATAACAAAATCCCATAAGCCTGGCTTTGACTTCCAGAGCCATGCTGGGAGATCTTGATCTCCAATTTCAAACCAGCCTTGAACTGACCTTGGAAGAAGGATTGTGCTCCTCCTTGGAAAACCTCACCAAGACCCCTGAAATTACTGCTTTTGTACTACTGTATTTGAAGAATTAAAATTTGGATTTCATTAACTTTCTTTGTGTGTTCCAGTCCTTGCTATGGCTCTGCTGTCTGTGTAAGTCAGGAGGAAATATGATCTTACCTTGCCCGTGGGGTGCTGTGTTGTGAGCTCCTGATGAAATAAACCTCAGAGCTGTGTTATGTTAAAGGAAAAAAATCAGACTTTTTGAACACTAGGACACCCTTAGGGCCAAATGCTAAATGTTTTCTAGGCTTCAGGCAGCGTCATGTTAAGTCTGCACACTTAGGATTTCTAAATTTAGAGCAGGCTTTCAATTGCCCCCTCAAGCAGTTTGCTGAAATGATATAATAATAACTGTACTTCCACAGGTATGTCTATGCCATGAGCTCTGAGAACAAGAGTTGTAAATTACAGAGATAATTTGGCCAAGGTTTGAATGTGGAAATGTTGCTGACTTTAAAAGCTCAGCACTGAATATCTACATTAAAGGAACACTGTCACACTGGAATCGTTTGTGTCTAAATGGGTTCATCTGTTATTCATGCCAGCTTATTGTGAGTGAAAACTTTCAAAAATATAGATATTTTTCATTGTGTTTGATTTGTATAGTATAGCAACGCTTCATATATCATCCATTTCAGTATTAGTAATTGTAAAATTAATATTTCTTTTGTAACTGCATTGTTTCTTTAATGCAAGAGTGTTTGTGTGAAGAATTAGAAGGCTTTCCATAGTGGTACAAGTTACAAGGCTGAACGCAGACTAAAGTTTTGATTTATTACTTTGTAATACCCCTGATTGATGAAGGCAGTGTTGGAATATTTTTTCTTCTTCTTCTTTTGGAGTGATAGAAGTTTTAGTGATCAAAGTTCGGCTGCCAAATGTCCATGGAGGAATAAGTTGTAAATTAAGTGTCTGTTGAAGCTCTGTCTTCTCTGAAATGTTGATACTTTGCAGAATCGAAACCGCCCTCGAATAATTACTCTCGAATCCTTTAAATACTTACGTATGTGTTTAACTTAACTCATGTCAAGTTATATGTGTAAAGTTAAACATGGAGAAACATATTTGCAGGGTGAGATCATTTTAACATCTCATGATTCACAGCAAAAAATATCCTGTTATTGGCTGAAACCTGCTCCACAGATACACAACATGAAGTTGAGATCAGCGTAGGTCCGTTCACATATTCCTTTTGAAAGTACTTACTCAGTATGAAGTACTGAACAAATCCTTCCAAAGTCCTTGCTAAATTATTGTCAAGATTAATATAATGATCATTTAAATTGTGTGTTGTAACAGATAAGCTAAAACTTAATCTCTGACTAGTTAATTAGAAAGGGAGTGAAATGTGGATAATGCAACTGTAGATGACTAAAGTGCTTTTAATGTTAGACATGTTGGTAGAGCCTATCAGTTTTAGTCAGCATGATTTAAAAATTATTTCCATATGTCTGAATTTGAGTTTGTTTTTCAAATTAAATTCTAGTCCTTTGTATAAGCATTCTGTCAAAGTGTGCAGTGGTGGGTGGTATCTCATCTTAGCAAACAATTTTTGAGTGAGGGGAATTCCAGCAAAATTCTTTCCTCAGACATATGCATGCAATTTTCACTGAATTTAGTGAGATTTACATGTGTGTTTCCAAAAGGAGGGTTTGGCTAATGTGTTTTGTTTTTTTCTTCCACCAACCCTCAGAGCCTTGGGCTCCCTGTCAGGCAGTGTTTGCATTTGCTGATCAGCGTTTCCACATCTGCTGAGCATTTCCTCTCAGATGCTTTGCCCATCTGAGCACATGACAGTCCTCTCACCAGAGTCCATCCATCCCTCCTGGCAGCTTGAACCTTGGCAGGAAATATTTCCACTTGGATTTCCACTTGAAGTTGGACTTTGGCAAACACCAAAGCCTGTGCCATTCTCCTGATTGTCTTTCAGGGGATGCTGTGATGTGATTGTGAATACGTATTGAGGGGGGAGATAATAAACCTCTTTTTCCTTCCTTTTGTTTTTTTCTTCCAAGGTTCCAGACAAGTATTTCACCATTTTACTGGATTATCTGCAAGGGCTTCAGGGCAATGCACGAGACAAAACTGTGCAGAAAGCTGAAGCTTTTATGAAGGAATTTGATGGTTCTGATGGAGAAGACCCAAACGTGCTGGGGAAGTGTGAGCGCATCAGACAAGTTCTACAACTGCTGTCCTGAGAGTATTTCTGTGTCATAATTGTTGTCTGGTGAGGGAAGAAAAGGATGTCACACACTGAGGCTGTAAAGAATTTGTAAAGATAATACTGAATTTTATGCTCGTAATTTTTTCCAATTGAAAATATTCATCGTGTTTTGAGGTGATGAAATAAAAATAACATATATAGTCCATAGTCTTGCTATTAATCTTATTGCAGCTCTTTAGAAGAATAAACCTCTCTCCCTCTCATTAGTTTTTCTACATCTCCCCCTCTAATTACTGTTAAGTATGAGGAACACTGCAGCTCTTAATACAAAGAGCAAAGGAACCAACATAAAGCCTGGAGGGTCTTTTACAATGGCAGCTTTTAAAATGATTGTACAGTGGAGTGTGTGCTCAGCCAGCTGTAATTTCTCACTTTCAGCTTCAGAAGGATGTCACTTGGATTTGGGAAGGATCATTTTCAGTCTGTTGAACACAGGTTGTATAACAGAGTTGCTTATTAGTACTTCACATGGTGATCTGGAGATACCATCAGCTTTGTTGGTTTTCTTTTTATATTTTAAAGTTTTCAAATGCATTAGGGCAATAGTTTAGTTACTCAGATAATGCACAGATGGGAACAGATCAAATCCTTAACTATATGTGGTGAAATCATCACATTGTAGCTAAAATTAGCCTACAATCAGAAGTGCTGTGCTGTATCCAGCCTGCCAGTGTTGCATTTTCCTCTTCCTCTTGCAACTGGCATCCAAAAGAGTTAATTCATGCTCATTCCTTTTGGCATGGGACGTTTGGCTGTTATGAATGTGCTGAAAGTGAGGCTTTCAAGTAAAAACCAAGGACATTAATTACTCAAAGTTGGATGATTGGCTTATTTAATAACACTGGTATTCAGACAGAGTTCTTGACCTGATTCTTTAATGTTTCTGCAAACGTTGTTCATACTTTATTAATAACAACTATATGAAAAGTGTGGTGGTGTAGAAGAGTGGCTGTCTTTGGGAATTACAGCTTTAATTTGGGTGGGTGAAGGAGGGGAGGATCTGTGGAGGATCTGCAGGCCTGATTTTCCAATAAGAAGCATTTGAGTGGATTTGACAGCTTTCATCGTCATGGCTTAGTACAAATCTTTGAAAGTATGAAATGTATTAGTAATGACAAATAACTTATGCTTTCTGACTTACTGAGGAGGATGTTTTCAGGCAAAAAAAGACTACAAACCAGCATGCCCTGCTCTAAAAGAATAACTGGGATGGAGTTTGGCACAAGAATGGGCAGAATTGAGCAGCAATGTCCAGGTTCTTCATTGAGCTGCTGACAGTGCCTCAGGGCACAGCTGGATGAGGCCTGCAGAGGAGACAGAGCCAGAGCCTTTCTGAGCTGTATAGCACTGATCTTCCAGTGAGAAACCTGCTGAAAAGGATCTGTAATAAAAAGAAGTGATCCTGACATTTAGTGAACTCATAAAGATCATTGGGGTCATATATTTTACATGTGAGAATATGCAGCTGGGAAAGGCTGCCATCACTCCAAGCAGAAGCTGATATTTGTTTCTTTCCATGAGGGAAAAATAGGAGTTTTTCAGGAATGAAGTTTTCAAAGTATCTTTTTGTGAGTTTATCATTGCCTGTTAGATGTCAGAGAAGAATTTTTGTTCTCCCTCAAGACATTTGAACATCACCACTTTTGATTTCTCTGTCACACAAAAATGTGAGTCCTCATTGTGCACTCAATATACCTCCTAGCTTAAAAGCACGAGCACATTGCAACTGCACTTTGGAAGAGAATTGTAAAAAAAGATGATGAAGGTAAGATCTGGGCAAAAATATGGGAGCATTTTATGATTTTGACATATTTGGCAAGATTTGCCTTTCTTGGACCTTAGTTCTGATCATGTATAAATGCTGACAAATCTGTAAGAAGAGAAGCTTTGTAGATCAAGAATGTCATGCTTCATTTTATATCAAATTAATATTAAAAGCACGCAAGGCCTGTCAATCTGGAGGCCATGTGAACAGTACTATTTGCAAAAAAAAGTTGGAGCCTTTCACCAGCACAGTAATGGACCCCTGGGAGTAGGTCATGCTCTGCTCTCCTCTTCCTCAGCTGCAGTTCCAGCTTTCCCTTCAGTCCCACTGGTTGCTGGGAGAAGGTCATGGTCCTGGGGCTCTGCTTCTTGCAGTTATGGAACATTCAGAAGCTACAGTTGAAGGTAATTATTGCTGTGGTTGTGTTTGGCAGAGAAAGCAAAGCATGGTGCTTCCTGCCACGTGCCTTTTGCTGTAGGTACTGTCCAATAGTCAGAGGGGTCTTGAAATTGGGTAAAAGATTTGTAAAACTGCTGCTTGGTGGTGCTGTGTCTTGCATATCAGAGCTCAATGTGAAATATTCTAAGAGTTGTCTGATACTAGTGCAAATAGAAAAGGACACGTTAATTACATTTCATTTTTTTACTTTGCACCTTTTCTTCAAGAATCTTCAGCCGTTTGTTTTGGCAAGCAAGTCATCCTCACAACAGCCAGGAAATGCAAGAACACTCATTTTTTGGAGATCTGTATTGCTAGACCTGTTTAAAAGACAAGATTGTGAGGACCCAGAGAGCTTATCCCACAAACTGCCAATGCTGTAGTGGCTCTGGCAAGCAAATCTTGCCTTGTCCATGTGCTATCCACCACACCAGCCTCTGCTTCCTGCTCAGCCTGGCATTTTCATCCTTGGATTTACATTATGTGATGAGTAAGTCTAGAAAAATCTCCTCCATCGTGCATTTTAAATTATTTATCTTAAATTATTAAGTGTGCAGTCAGTTACTGAATTCCTGGAGCTGGTTGGAGCTGTGTGAGAAGATGTCATCTGGCACTTTATTCCCTTTTTGTCACTTGGTCATGTACAGTTTTCAAATCTCAGCATTGCTTGTATCTTAGGCAATCACATGGGCACAGATAGGACAAAATCTTGTCTTTGCCTCTGTTTGAATCAGTCTGCTGTGTTAATAAAAATTGCATCCCAGGCTGGAAGTAGCAGTGTGTACAGAATGACAAATGACATCTTCATCTGCCTGCACTAATCGCCTTCTCGTTGAGTTAATCTGCATTGTGTGGCTCTGGCTAGCAGAATGCATGTCCTAAGAGAATGCTGAAGTCAGGGCTTCCAGGCAAAATAAAGGAACACTAATTACTTAGAATTGCTTAAAGCTGGAACTGTGCCTCTAATGGAGGTACTAATTACTCAAAATTTGACAGTGGAAGAATTTCCCTTTAATTTGGCTGATCCTTGCTATGGGTTGTGTATCTATTTGGTTCTCCACTGTCTGCCCACAATTTTATCATCACCATTGTAAAATTACTGTGTAAATGAATCGTGTTTGTATTTGGAAAGGGCATCTTGGACTTGTTGAATGTGTAGTTTATTTCCTTATTTCCTGTCACTGGAAAATTGCTGTGTTTCTCTTCATTTTAAAGCAAGGTGATTATTGACTCATCTCCCATTATTTCAAATAGCTTAGAAATGCATATCTTTGGTTTGAGCTTGGGGGTTTTGGTTTTGTTTTGTGGGTTTTTCTAAATTTTGCCATTGAGTAAGGCAAAGTAAAAAACATTAAAATCTACTCACATTTCTGCAAACCAATGTCAAAAACAACAATCATAAAAGAGATTTAAGTTGCAAAATCAAGCACTCAGAAAATTAGAAAACATAAGACTGGAAATTGTCTGTGTAATTTAAATTTTACTCCTTCATGCGTAAATGGTAGGATGGAACTTCTTAATTATGTCATCAGGGTTGTGTTTTCCTTTGTGTGCAATTGGTAAGTTATTTATTTAGTGTTTTCCTTGCAGCTCTGCTGCTCTTCTCATTTTCAAAAAGTAAGGTCTACAAAGCAGTCCCAAAGCCAGAGAAGTAACTTTGCAGTTGGGCTTTGATCCTGCACAGAAATAAGCAGGAACTTTCATTTTCCTTTGGTGAAGGAACTAGTCATAGATGTTTCATCACAAATGTTCCCTTTAAAACATGTTTTAATGTTCTGATTCATTTACAGTCAAAATACTGAATTGATGTTACTTAATTTAAATCCAGTTTTGTTGACATAAAACTTTCCAGTGGCTTATTCTGGTTTAGCCTTTGGTTTCCTTTTATGTCTTCCTTTCTGTACAGCTGAATGAGCTTGTTATTTCTGTCCCTGCAAATAGGAATATTAGTTGTTTACAGTGATTCCAGTCATACAAGGACACAATTAAATGTCCTTGCCTGTGCAGGACGAGCTCATTTTCACAGTGATTTATAATTATGTTCTATTTTAAATTCTTCATAAGAACCTACGTAGTCAACAACTTAAAGCGGTTTTAAATAATTATTATTTTAAAATAAGCAGTTTTTTCCCCTTCAAGGAGTATGGAATAGCAAACTAAATAAAACTAATTAGTAAATGGTGGGGGAAGGGCAAAGCAAAACAGTGGTTTATCTTTCTTTGTCAAAACAAAGCTGAATAAGAAGCTTGTGCTACTAAGAAACTGGTGTTGCAGACACAGAGGGAGGGCCCTCTGGGTACAAACAGAAGAACACTCATACAGTTACTCTTACTGATTTTTTTCCTTACATGCAGAAAATTTTTGGCATTCCCCAACAAAACCCACAAAAACACCTACGTCAAAAAGTTAAATAGGTTTCAAAATCAAATCCTTAAAGGTCAAGAAATGCCACATGTATATAAATGGCCAGAAGAATTAAAATTCTACCTCTCTGTGCCTCCAGCCTGGAGACTGAATGAAGGGGGATTGTGTTAGAAGCAAACAAGCAAAAGCCTCTAAATTATGTGAGCACATAGTTAAAATTGCCAGATACCCTTCTGTTCATAGGAAGGTGGAGTTACATTCCCTATTAACTTTAGTTATTCAGATTTTTTAATGAATATTTTCTGCTAATTGAAATATCACAGCTGTGACAACTTACATCTATTCTCCTCAAGGTCCCATGTGTATTTAATAAAATTGTGAGCCATGGGACACAGAATGTGTCACTCTTACTTGCTTACAAATAGCCATACCAGCCATGGCACTGTGAAAATCATCATTTGCTGTGGAGCTCCTTTGGACCCAAAGGATGTTTGGCACTGTGTTTCCCTGTATTGGTCTGGAGGTACAGGTTTTGGCAGCATCCTTTGTACCAACCAGGCTTGCTTAAGCTCCATGAAAT